AAAAAAAAAGACGAAGAAGAAGAAAAGTTTTGCGGAATTGGGGAATATATGAACAGCACTTGTTGATTAATTTGCATTTCAGAATAATTATGTACTTGCAAAGGTTCAAGCTTGTTCCGCCAATTTTGCAGGTTCAATCCACTTTACAGAACTTTTTCATGAATAGCAAAGAAGACCTTTACCTTCTGCAGATTGATGCTAAAAAGGTGTGGAAAAAACTGTAGACCAATCGAATCACAAGACCAACGATATGTTTTCTTCAAACCTGCTGCGTTTATTTGTGCATGCTGACATAAAATAACTTGATACAGCTTGGAGACGGGTTGATTTATGAATCTGTGGATGAATCCAATGTGTTCCCGCATTTCTATGGTCCTTCTCGGAGTTACAGTCCTCTTCCACTGGATGTTGTCATAAAAGCAGAAAAACTTAGCATCATGGACGGCAAATTCAGCTGCAGCTTCCTGGATTAATTTCAAATTTCAAATTCTGGTTTAGTTTGATTTCATGGTTCACGTGCTGATCTTATCTTTAAGCTGTGTTGGATCTGTAATGTTCATGTTACTCCTCTTATTTGATACAATATTACTGAGAAATCAGAGATCTGCAGTTGAAAAACATTATGTCTTGTTGCACATGGAAAGCTAGCTATGCCTTCACATTTTGGTCAAGAACTGAAATTAGTATACTTACAGTGGCATGAAAATTCATTTAAGCTTATTATATTTGTTTCATTATTATTTCACGACCAATAATTTAATTACTGGGTGGTGTAATAGAATGATTAAGCTCACACTGCAAAATCATTCTGCCATTTTAGATACCATTACTGTTTTTGTCCCTATCTACTCTATATTAGTCAGTGGGTATAATAGGATGGGTTGTGCCTGTCAATTGATGATATTGGGCAAACTTGACTCTAAGGTACGGTTGGCCTAAATTCTCGTTTCCAAAAGTAGCACTCGTGTTAAATAAATAATGAATATCTTGATATGCCTAAATTTTCTTTTGTCGTGTTATGACTAAGTTCCCTGTTCAAGAGCTATATATATACTTCAAGCTGTGATGATTATTGCATCGACAATTCTACCTCAGTGAAAATGGCCTCTCACAACATTGGCTTCTTTCTTCCTGTCCTGTTTCATGCTCTTTTCATATTTTGTCTACCTTTTGTTGTTTCTCAATGCCGAAGAAAGCCAGTGATTTTCAACTTTGGCGACTCAAACTCCGATACAGGGGGGTATTCAGCTGCGACTGGGTTTGTGTTCGGATACCCTGACGGACGGGCCTTCTTTCAAAAGCCAACTGGCCGGTTATGTGATGGGCGTTTAGTCATCGACTTCTTGTGTAAGCTAAAAATACTCCTCATAATATTCATCAAATTACTGTATAACTCAGCCATGCACATGCAAATTTATATTTGTCACTGTCGTGAAATAGTGCCAACATGAATTTCTGCCGGAAAATGACAGAAAAAGACGTGTCTGAAATATTGACAAAAAAGAAGAGAACAACGACTGTTCAACTAATCGCACGCACTTAAAGGACGAGGGAATGAAATTTTAATGCTAAGCTGTCTTAATTCACAGGTGAACAATTGAAGGCTAATTATATGACACCCTATCTGGAATCAGTGGGACCCGATTTCACAAATGGAGCCAACTTCGCGGTAGGCGGAGCAGCCACTCACCCGAAATACGCCCCTTTCAGTTTGGATACTCAAGTTCTGGAGTTTTTGCGCTTTTACAACCGTTCTTTGGAGTTGAATTCCCAAGGTTATAACCTAATGAATTTTCAATTCCTACTTTGTTGAAAGATAGATATATGCATCTTTTTTTTATAAAAAAATAAAAAAAATGATATTTTTTAAACAAACATTGCATTAGGCATACAAAATCTGGTTGATGAAGAGGGCTTCAAGAACGCACTCTACATGATCGACATTGGACAGAACGACTTAATGGCTGCATTTAAATCTCTTCCTTATGCTCAAGTTATTGAAAAGATCCCTTCTTTTATATCCATAATAAGGGATGCTATGTCGGTAATGTGCTCAACATCAATTCTATTGAGTTAATTGCTACAAATCACATATTCTGACAAGAACTCAAATACAGGCCTTGTACGAACGAGGTGCAACGTACTTTTGGGTGCACAACACGGGCCCGCTCGGATGTCTGCCTGCAAGCTTAGGCACAAGTAAGACCAATGCTACTGATTTCGATGAACACGGGTGCATTGAGTCTATGAACGAAGGCGCCAAAGCATTCAACGCTGAACTAGCCGCTCTTTGTGAAGAACTACGTTCTCAGATGCAGAATGCCACGATCGTCTACGTGGATGTCTACTCCATCAAGTACAACCTCATTGAATACTCAGCCTTTTACGGTAAAGTAATTTTTGTTCTGTAACATTTTTCCTTAAAAGCTACATATATTTTCGGCCTAATTGTGACTGAAAAAAGTTTCACCATTGTAAATGAAACAGATTTCAAGCATACATTAGAGGCGTGTTGGGGGGTTGGTGGGCCGCCGTATAATTACGACCCAAACGTTAACTGTCGGGCCCAAGGATGCAATGTGTGTGAAGTGGGCTCGAGGCACATAAGCTGGGATGGAGTTCACAATACCCAGGCTGCTAATGCTCTTATTGCCCATCGTATACTCTCCACCAAGTATTCTAAACCTCCCCTTCGGTTCAGCTTTTTCTGTAACAATGCATGAAACTTGTCCAGCTTCAGTACCTAATTAAAAGACTACTTGAAAAAAAAACTTTATTATGGTGTAAGAGTTGAATAAAATTGCTCGATCTCGATATATATATGTGGAAAATTGTAATCTGTGTTACATTTAACTATGTAAAATTTATCATTTATATATGCGAAGAACATGTATCAACGATAACACTAATTAATGAATATGCATAATAATGATTGTGCCAAATAATGACCACTCCCGTTTTCTAGTTAAGTGGGAATTAATGTTCCCATAATCACAGAGCTATCGTGGACGGTACAAAAGTCATTTTCGTTAATGAGTTACTTTATTATAATTTGCTATTTATTGATGTGTTAAATTATTTAAATTTAACATTTCATGTGCATGCCTAAATTTTGCACTGTAAACCTATCATGCTTAATTATAAACTTCGACTAGGATAGCTAATGTCGTATCCATTAGTAGTAATGTTAGAATTTGTTAGTGAGATAATATGGTTTTTTGACTCGTGTTGTCCTCTTACCCGACAACAAAGGTGTGAGTGTGAGTGTGTGTGTGTGTGTGTGTGTAAATTTACTGCAGTTATTTTTTTTTTTTTTTTGACTGGTCAGTTGTTTTTCTTATACAAAGCCAATAAATATGCTGAATTGAATTATTTTTTGGTCTTTAATTATTAGTATGCAATTATGTTATACCAAGACCCTTAGGAACATTCTAGCTAGGAGGTGAGTTTAAATGATTTAGCAACATGCCCCTGGATCATAATTACAAGGATCTTCAAAAGAATTATGACAATTAATTGTCACACAATATGAAAAAAAAAAGAAAAAAAAAA